TGCTATGTTCTATCTTTATAAGAGCCAGATCAGACCAAAAATGGAATAGTACTTCCATATCTGGACTAGAATTGCCCAGTTTGCATCTCCCAGCCTTCCTGGCTCAGAAGTATTTACATAACCTTGTAGATGAGTTATTATTTTTCACTAGACAGCCCCCTTTCTCACAGACAAAAAAAAACATTGCAGGCTTCTTTCTACTGTATTGCTATTTCCATGGCAAATGTTCTAACAAGCTACATCCATCAGTTCTACCAGTTCAGATCTTTACAGCTAAGACCCAATATGCCATATAAACTGGGATAAATCATCTCCATTCCTTTTGTATTCAATTAATAAGATGGAAATTTTATTCAGACTGATTTTCCCCCAAAACTGCTACTTTGTGAAACAGTCTCCCTAGAGGATGCTTCCTTGATTACTATGATCTTAATCTCTTCAAGATTAGGGTCAACTGTTATCTTTCGTACATATTATCATAATCTGTATTTCTTCTCCTTTTATGCTCATACAACAACCTCATTCAGTAACACTCTACCCTGAGTGGCTCTTGAGCCTTGTATTGGGGGATCACTTAGAATAAAAAAATTTACTAATTCCACATCCTGAATTTTTATGATGGATTCAGAGTATGCACTATCACTACTTTCATTACAATTCTAGATCATATTTTCTGTTTTAGAAAAGTTTATCTTGATTACTACATTTTGGAATGAACTGGCAAAGTAAATGTGATGGCAGCAACAATGATGTGAATGTTGGTTAGAAAAATAATTCCTGACTGAATAAGTATCTCACATGATGTAATTTCAAAGAAACTTTTCTTTGTACTTTTTTTTTTGTTTCAGTTTGATTTCAGTGATAGACTACATTCTAAGTCAAGATGAGTCGACTCTATGATTCTGTTGAGCCATCTGTGATTGATGAAGAGATGCTTTTCGTCGCTGTGTTTGAACAAGGACCAAAACATGAGGCAGGGGCTATTGCAAAAAAAGAAGGAATCAATTTTGCAGATGTGCAACAACTCAGGCTTGATTTTAAAAGTAAGTATTTTGACTTAAATTTATTAATGTATATTTTTATGTGCTTCTGGATTTAGCTTGTAGTGAGTCTCAATAACAATAACATATATAAACAAAAATAAAAAGAGTTCAAATCAAAATAAGGCATTTTTAGTTTCCTTTAAAACCCTTATCTCTTTCTTATTCTCTCTCCCTCTCTGAACTTCATTTTCTATACATCTCTCTCAACTAACAAGAAGGCAACCCTCAAATAAAAAGAGGAAGAAGAAGAAAAGTCTGAACCAGGCCAAAAAATGCCAGAAGTTTGAAAAATACCAAAAATCAGGGAGGTTCCATGCATAACTTCCATTATAAAAAAAAAAATGAAAAAGAAAAGAATGCCGAAAAATAAAACAACTTTGGCCAATCAAAAAAATTGACACAAAGAGACTTTTGATGTTAGTCGAAACCAATGTCCATGCCAGATTTCTTGTGCCTCATCAAAACAGATATGAACTGACACCTCTTAGCTAGAAACAGAAGAATTAGTTAAAAAGTCATCTGCTAGTGATATTTCTGCCCTGCTTAGGGTCTCAAAAAACACAGTAGATAGACTCTGACCTATTTCTAAGATTACTACTATCCCTATCTTCAAAACACCACTACCGGACATTTCTCCAGATTCCTACCACTATCCACCTTATTAATGAAGCTTTTTGCAACACCAAATACCAAAGGACTCACTCATTACTATGAAGAAAATAAATAAAAATATATTACTTTTTAAACCAAAGTTTCCAGTAAAGAAAATCCTACCAACACCATATCCACAAGTTCATTGATTAGATCACTTTAAGGATAAAAGTTTCATGTCAAGTTTGGAAGATTCATTCTCCTCATCTCAAAAAAATCCTAGTTTTCGACGAGAACAACCTATCTGTTCTTATTGTAAAGATAGAGAAGGTGTTTATCTCCCTTTGGTGGAGATAAGTCACGTGGGTCACATGGCAGCCACTTAGTCATGTCACTTGATGTAGTGATGAAAACAACAGCCAAATTCAGTTTGTTTACAGCAGCTAAACTGTAAGGTTGCTTTCTTTAGCTCAGACTTCCAAGGCCTGAGCAGAGAGTAAATCTGCCTCAACAGAAGCTTACAAGTTCATGGTGCTATTTCTCTTTGGGAATATATCTTTCCCAGAAAGAGAATGAAACTCCAGCTCACAGTGTTCAATTTGGAAAACCCAAGATTTGCTGTTTTCCGTTTGAGGAATATGTCCTCACCTGGGCATAGATGAATCCAGGCCTGGAGTCCTAAACATAGCTTCTCCAGACAGAAGTATCTCCATATTATATGAAAGAACCTTTCTTTTAGTTTCTTATACTCTGGAAAAGGAATAACAAACATGCTTTGTTCTCAGTGAGACTTTTATACTACTAAAACATACACAAAACTATATATACAAATATACAAGTGCCCCACATATAGAATAATATATTACATATATCTATACAGCAAAACAAAGTATAAGAACAAGCGAAAAGGAAGGCACTTACATATAATATGGAGATATTCCTGTGTCTGGAGAAACCATGTTTAAGAGTCCAGATTCATCTATGTCTCAGCTGAATCAAAGAGTGCAACCTTGTGGTTTAACTGCTGTAAACAAATACAATTTAGCTGTGATTTCATCACTGCATCAAGTGACGTCACTAGGCGGCTGCCATGTGACTCATGTGACTTATCTTTACCAAAGCGAGATAAGTGTCTTCTGTATCCTTACACCATTTATGCTAGTTAGATGATCAAATTATACAATAGTTTGTATTAAATGTGAGATTTTTTCTTTGAAGTCAATGAAAACGAAATGATCATGTTCATTTTAAAATGGATTTTAATGATTAAATAGTAAATAACAACACCTGTTGCCCTGCTGCTCAAGATTTATCCTCATATCAGTTCCTATATATAAACTAATTTTTAGATCCCACTCTCCAGCCAATTGTCCCGCCATAACATGCATACAAGTAAGCAATCACAAATTTATAGTAATAGATATTTTTCTTAATATCTTTTTTTTGTAAAAGAAAGATTCCCTAACCAGTACAATAAGAACGATATTTCTTTTTACTAACATTTTTCCCCCGAGCAAGGCAGTAATGCCACTAAGAGGCAAGGGGTTACTGGAAGTGAAAGAAAATAATAAGACTTTAGTAAAGAGAAAGGACAATAAAAGAACAGGTTCCAGGAAGACAGAAGTTTGTGATGGACATTGCATTCAAGTTTTTGAAGATTCTAGTTGGCAGGGAAGAAAGAAACTAGAAGATAGTTCTACAGGTGAGTAATGTAAGAAAAGAAACTATTAGAATAGAATTTACAGTTACAATTAGCTCTTTCATCAGTAAAATGATAAAACCTACTTACCAATCAAGTAGTACACTTAAATGCATGTAGTCAAGGTGGTACCAATGAGGAGAGGTCATAAGAAAAACAGCCATGAAAATATTTATAGAAAAGACAGAGGGAAGTCACATGACAGTGGCAGGATAGTGTTTAAAGTGTAGATGCCATGTCAAGAATAAAAATTAAATTTAAAAAATTACAGACTCTTTGAATTTTGTCAATAATTTCAAGATATATAACAGCAGCACATGACCAGATATAACAGCAATATTCAATGCACAGGTGAATAGTAGATTCATTACATGTGCAAGATGGATTCTGATGAGAAAAACTGTCTGTCACTACACAGTAAACCAACTTTCCTAGTAGTAGAACTAGCAATGGATTCAATATAATCATTCCACTTAATGTCAGTGGAAAACACAGGCTAAGAAGGTGCAATGAGTTGCTCTCCTGGAGGTTAGCATCAACCATGTTTCAAAAATTGTTCCCTATGATGATTAAAAGATGGCAGTTTCACTTTGGAAGCATTAAAATTTACAAGCCATTTCTTGCCCCAGTTAACAACTGATTGGAGATCACTTTTGAGAGAAGCTGCCAGTTTTACTTTATTAGACCTATCAGACTTACTATTAAGACAAGAGTTGCATCATCAGCATAAATAATTTAGGTAGCCAGACTTTTTGTTTATGTAAGAAACATTTCATAGGTAGAGTTATGAATTTTATAAATTATTTCAGTGAAATTATCAAACTTTTATTTAAAAATTGAAGCCTGATTGAAATGTGAGAATAATATAGGTCTTCAAATATCAATATATTTTTATACACTGTTCTGTTACCTTTCTAGTTATTTACTTTTTGGCACTTTCTCTTGATAAGAGATATTAACAGGAATTCAAATAATAAAAATAACAGTTTGTCCCTTTATGTTATTGGTAGAGATTAAGACTTTTAATACAAAGTCATATTGATCTCATGGTTGTTCTTTATTTTACAACTCACCATTGAATTTGGATGTGGCTCTGTAACTTAAATCTGGACATGCAGGATGTGGGACAGTGGGGAATTCAGTGGTTGTGATCACAGCTAAAGTTGCCCAATAGAACTCTTCTCTTTTATAATTGTATTTTTGTTGTTGGGCATCTTTGAAGTTTGCAGCAGTTTTGTGGACAATGGTACATCAGCACGATTGTTTGGCAGCACATTCTTCTAACTCCTTTGGTTTGATCTTGCACCAATGGATGTTAGTTTTGATTGCATCTTTGTAACATTTTTTGGTCAGCCTAGATGTCTTCTGCAACATAGAAGCACTCTGTACAACAGGTTCCTGGCAATGTGACGATGACGATGATGTAGTGAGTTCATTATATTTGTTCATGTGCATTGCCAGATCAGTGATGTAATGATGAGTTTCTAAAATAGACCTGTGTGGGAAGAATTTACTGTTGCACTTGGCTAATCCCAATCTTTCAGCCTGAGCAGTAAATGACATGAGGGGCTGTTACAAATGGAGACTTCAAGGAGTAGATCAACAGAATTTCTGCATGTCACATCCATGCACTAATGTAGTCCATGGTATTTGCTGACACTGTTTCCATGGCTGTGGGAGCTTTAGGAGTTCTCATCTACCCACTCCTACAAGAATCACTCTTCACATGCAAAAGAGCTGACAGACCCCATATTATTAAAGGTTTGATCTTGTCAGCGGGTTTTGCCTGCTAGTTGAAGTGGTTTACCAGAGTGTTGCCACTATTGCATGCAAACAACTACTTAAAACCACTGGTGAAAGCTGGGCACTGAGCAGGAATCAATGCAGACAAGCTACTCCCAAAGGGTTATGATCGTCCCCCACCATTGAATGTACTATGACACCTTGACATCCCAAATAAGCTCACTACCAGTTATTTATAAAGCCAATAGCTTTTGGGTTATATAAAATAACAGAACATTTATTCTTATGCTTTCCTTTATAAATGTGATTGTCTGTTCCAAAGATATTAATTTTATCAAATTCCTCAAATTTCTTGACATATATTTTTTTCTAATTTAATTTTCACAGATATTCTCAAGATTGGCAATTTGTGGTGCTTTACTAATCTTACAAAGTTGCAACTTGATAATAATATCATTGAAAAAATTGAAGGACTGGAATTACTTGTGCATCTTGTCTGGCTGGGTAAGCTTTATTTATTTAATGACATTCACCTGCTTTCAACTTTGAGCAATAGATCATAAATTCCCAGACTATGGCCTGTATCCAACATTTACATCAATTTCATACAAGACTAAAATGATTTCAAACAATATTTTTTATTATCAGTTTTTCTTTTATATTTGTTGTATTGTGTTGTTCTATGACACATGATCAGTAGACAACTTCCACCTGTCTCTTACTTTAATATACATTTTATTTCTCTTCTACATAACATATGCAAATAGATACAATCCTATTTACCAATCCCTGAACCAAAAAAATTTAATGCCTTTGGTTGTTCTCAAACTTCTTCTACAACCTCTTTCCTCCTCTTGCTCTTGAGGTTTATGTCCTGTTCTTTTTAATACAGATCTTGGTCTCATTTCATTTTCTTTGGTGGTGTCTGAGTCACTCTCGCTATCATCCATAGGCTCATCTTCTATTGCATTATCCTGATCTGAAGAACTCATCCTTTCTTCTCTGTCAAGGTTTTCTTCCCTCATGATGTCTTCTGCTTCAATTCTGGGTCTTAATTGGTCAAAATGAGCCATTAGGCTTTTTTCTTTCTTTACTATATCGACTGTGTTATGTCCCCTTTGCATGATGAAATTAGCTCTATCAGGACTTACTACTTTGTCTTTTTATACCATATCCTTTCATTTGTCAAATAAGACGTTGTTAATGGAGATATTATTTATCTACCCATTAATGCAGATGAGCTTTGCAATCTGTCTGTATGTGGATTCATCCTATAAGCAGTAACCTTGGTAAGTAACTGTCTATAGTAAATCTCTACTTGGGGAAAATGCCTTTAATCCCATTTTTACTGTCTGCATCATTCTTTCTGCAATCCCATTATGGGTGATACAGTGGTGTTTTGTAAGGGAAGCAGCCAATCCACCTCAACCATGTTGTGGATTCCGAGATGAAATCCGGTCTCCAATGAATGACAAATGCAGGAATGAAATATAACAAATAAATGTATTTACACAATGATACAATTGGCAATCCGGTTAGTAAATCCAGAAACGTGGTTAGTAGCAATAATAATATATATACACAGTCTGGTAAATTCAGTCTCGAAGTAGGACTTCCTTAGAGTCTACGTGCTTGTAATTGTGACTTCTACAAGCGGTTACTTCACACTATTACTCTACCTCCAACTCAATCACAATCTCAATCTCTACTCTGACTGACTCTGGGTATTTAACGGCAGCAGTCCAAGTACACACTGGTCGAGTCCACTTGTATGAAAAAGGGGTGGACCCCATAACACCCTCCTCCTTAGATCCCTTTTTGGGGGGAGTTAGTATTTTTGTCTCTTATGGTTGATAATCAGGGGGTTCGACAAATTTTCTCTCCGCCAGTAATAATGATCTAGATGTGTGTGCAACGGGTTTGTTTGTGCCATTCCGCATCTTGTGTAAAATACACGCACCTACCCCATGTGAGCTCGTGTCACTTGCAATAATGATTTCGAATTTGGGATCGAAATGTGTCAATGTTAACTCTGAAGTTAATTTTTGTATTATTTCCTTAAATGCTTTTTTTACAGTCCTCTGTCCAATTCCAATTATGCTCCTTTTTTAGTAACTCATTTAGTGGAGCCCTCAGTTTATGCATATTATCAATAAATTCACCATAGTAGTTAGCTAGGCCCAGGAAACTTTGTAGTTCTGCAACAAACCAGTTACATCAATCTTCATCACAAAATGTTTTAGGGACCCCATTTTTAGAAAATATCATGCTTAGTATTTTTTTTATTGTAGTTGTTTTTCTATCTTTAACTTTAATGACTTCAGAAAAGGAGTTTACTAAAATTAGAAATAATTCCATGTCGTTAATGTATGCATGGTCCATATGAACATGAGACCATAGTTCTTTTTCTCTAGGCCATGTGTGTGTTCTCCTTTGTTGAAAATTCTTTATTTCTACACATTTTGGGCATTTGTGTATATATCTTTCTATATCTTGATAATACTCTGGCCACCATGCCTCAAATTTTAATCTCCTTTGCATAGCTCTTATTCCACAATGAACATCAACATGTACACCTTTTAAAATATCTCTTTTTACTGTTTCTGGTGGTATTATCACATCTCCATTTCATATAATACTTTTTTCCATTGTTAATTTATGCCTTATTTTTTATAAGGTGTTTTGGAAGAATTGTACCACCCGTTTCTTCTTATTCTTTCAGCAATCTTGCTTAATATTGGATTCTATAGAATTTTTGTAGAGACAATATGTCATTTTTAACCCAATCCAGGATTTCTATTTTTTCTTTTTGATCCTTATTAAATTATAACCTTGACAGTGCATTGAGATGTGGTATTGTATTTCCTTTTATATACTCAATGCCAAAATTATAAGCCATTAATTTTATGGCCCATCTCAGAATCCTGGAAGAAGTAACTTTTGGTAATTCCTTTCTAGGGTTAAAAATAAATGCTACAGGTTTCTGGTCCAACTTTGATAGGAACTTCTTACCTAATAAAAATTGTTGAATTCTATCTGTGCTCCAGACAATGGCTAATGCCTCTTTTTCAATATTTGAATAATTTATTTTTATTGCTGTCAATCTTCTTAAAAGGTACATTACTGGATGGCATTCTTACAATAAAGTTTCTGTCACAGCTCACTGACTTGCATCTGCAGTTAATGCAACTGCTTTTCTGGGATCAAAGATTTTTACAATGGAGTTTTCTGTCATTATCACTTTTAAATCCTTGAATGATAAGCTTTGCTTTTGAGTCCATTTGAACTCACTATTCTTTTTTGGCAGTTCAGCAAATGATTCTATTAATTTACTGAATTTTGGTAGGTTTCTATTATAAAAATTAACCAATCCTAAAAAGGATTCTAATTGTTTTTTATTAGTATATAGAGATACCTCTGAAATTTTATTAATTAACTTTGCATACCAACTGAAAATGATTTTTTCTTGCCAGAGTTTTGGAGTAAATAATACACCCATGATAACACAAATGAAGTAGGCAAGATGCCTTAAATAAAGAACTCTAAGAGAGTCAAAGTAGTGCATTAGACTAGTCTGTTGGAGTCAATCAGGAGAATTTCTAACAGATGTCATGGTGAGTAGCCTAAGCAAGACATAATATTATAACACCTAGGAGTGAGTTATAACAGTGGCAATGAGGATATCAAAACTCATATGGGGTGGGGTAGGAAAAAAAGAACTTTTTGCATCAATGCACTTGATAACAGTGATGATAAGAAATTAAAACCATGTTGGATTAAGTTTTTCTCTTTGGTGTATGTAAAAAAAAAAAAGAAGAAAAATGAAAAGAAAAAACATTCTTCAAACATAGAAGAATTATTAGTCCAAGTGTTAAAAATACAACAACAGCAGCAAAAACAGAAGTTGTTGGATCTTCAGAAACAACAACAAAATTTAATTGAAATAATACAGAAGAAAACAGAAAATTCAGTAGTATTCCATGCATGGATGAATGGTTGATTTATAGATTTGAAGGATGGATTCAGGCAAGAAAAACTTATTTCAATGATATATTAATTAACAGTGTATCTAAAGAACAATATATCAGGTATGTGAAAAGAGTTTTTGAAAAAAATATGAGATTACGAGTTCAAACTCAGTGGGGAGAAGTGCAAATTGTTTTGCCTAAAATCAAGTCCCTAGGACAAATCATTGACCAAAATGGTCATCAACTAGATCTGTCGAGGGTAAGTGCAATTAAGAATATGCCTCCTCCAACAAATGTTACAAGGTTACAAGCATTTCTGGGACTAGCAAACTATTATCAAATTTATGTAATATGTAGAATTTGAGAGCTCCAATGGAAAATTTGCTTAAAAAAGGCATAAAGTGGAACTGGACTGATAAGTGTCATAGTGCGTTTGAAGAAATCAAGAAAATACTAATATCAGACTTATCATTAACGTACTATGATCTAAAAGAAGAAATCATATTGGCTTCAGATGCTAGTGACTATAGTATAGGATTAGTAATTATACATAAATATGATGATAGTAACATGAAGGTCTGTGCATGTGCTTTGCCTTCCCTATTACCAGCAAAAAAAACAAACTATAGCCAGGTCAAAAAAGAGGCGTTAGCAATAATATTTGCAGTGAAAAATTGTCACAAATTTATACACAGAAGAAGTTTTCATTTGCAGACAGACCTTCGACCTCTATTATCAATTTATGTTTTGAAAAAAGAAATTCCTATGCATCTAGTGAATAGATTACAACACTGGGCTACTATCTTATTAAATTACAATTTCAGAATGGAATACCAACCATCCAAAAAATTAAGACCTACTGATGGTTTATTAAGATTGATACTAAAAAATAATGAACTGTTTGAAGATACTGTTATTGCAGCATTAAAAAGTGAAATAGAAATTAAAAAATATATTATGCAATGTAGTATGTGAGCTACTTGTTACCCTGAAAGAAAAAAAAGTAAAAGCAGAACAAGATATGTTTATTTTGAAAATAAAAATGACTAAAAGAAAGTAAGAAAGATGGACGACTTTTAGAATGTAATCCAGACTTGAATGCTTACTTGCTATGTGACGGATTACTGATATTTGCACAAAGAGTAGTACTACCTAGCATATAACAAAAGTGGATATTAAAAGGAATTTCATAGTGGACATCTGGGAATTTCAAGGATGAAATCTCTTATGAGAAACTATGTATATTGGATCAAAATGATTCAAGACATTGAAAAATTAGTAAAAGCTTGCAGAGGTTGTGGTCTGTTAGTAAAATCACCTACTACGAAATTACAACATTAGCCAGACAGATACTTCATGGTCAAGACTGCACATAGATTTCACAGGTCCAATAAATGAATCACATTATCTTGTGGTAGTAGATAGCTTTACTAAGTGGCCTGAAATTTGTAAGTGCAAAAAAACAACTTCCACAGTTACAGTGAATATTTTATGCAAACTGTTTGTAAGATATTGCATTCCGAATGCCATAATTTT